TTCAATATTCATATAAATATTTTAAATTGTTTCAATTTGCTTTTAAAGTGACAATTTTTTAGCCATACGGTCCATATCACGTTCCCTTATCTCTCCAATTAGTTTGATTTTCATTCTCAAGTCTTTGACAGTCTAATAAAATTATGAATTGCGGTGGGAAAAATTTGTATTTGAATAATTACGACGGGTGTGATCATTTTTAAAAGAAGGGATACACAGCCCTGAGTGATAGTTGTGACTGGACTGCGGAAAATTTGAAGATACAAAAATATATAAATAATCCCAAAATATAGAACTCGTTATGATATTCAGCGAATAAAACAGTTGCCTATCTAGCTTCCATTTTTTTCCAAAAATCCGCAGTCTAGTTGTGACGATAATATTTCGTCCCTTTTTAACTTTCTTCCTGAGTGTCTTTCTTGAGTTAAATAGTGAAATATTTGACGCTTTGCGCGAGTTATCAGTTTCACGTGATAAGGTGGATGTCTGCACTGTTGGATAACCAACCGCCGAAAAACAAGTTACTCATCGATCGCCGACTAGTCCCTTCAAAGTCCTGTCCAACAATTCGTCACCAGAACCAAGTTCACCTCCTCCCCCAAATCCCTTCCTTACAAGTACACCTGAAAAATCCCTTAGAAGATCATTATAGAAACCAAGCGAGCATAGTTAAGAGCTGTCGATCTAGTACACGGCAGAAAACCACAACGTCTCTTCCCTTCGTGAAGTTCGCGCCTTGTAAATTCGGAGTCCGCAAGTACAAGTGTCATTTCCAACAGCACTTACACACTCCTTGTATTCGTGAAATACACGAATTGTGCATTTTATGCGATGTGTTAGATGTAGATGTAGAGAATTTGGTGGCGAGGGTGTTAACGGTAGCATAATTCCATTGTGCCATTTCCATTGAACTACTCGTATTGCGATAGAATCCCATTGCACAGCCTAATTTTATCAATTTCAATTACCTATTAACTGGATTCAAATCTGAAACAGGAATTACTTCGTCAACTTTAATCAACAGTTAACTGAATTCACCTCTCGGACAGAAATTAAATCTCTCCAGCTTGCACCAAAAAATGTTCGATAAAAATTGCAACCAATCTGCTAGATGCGAAATGAATAACTACGAATAAGAACGAAGAAAAAACCGTTGATCGATAATATCCGAAAAAAAAAAACAAGATTTTCCTCGAGCGTCTCCACTGGAAATGGACAATTTCCTATGCACCGACCCCATAATTTCAGGAGACGGTCAAGACATCCCGTGGATATACCGGGATATCGAGGATGGGATAAACTTCTCCGTCGGATAATCGAAAATAATGGTCTCAGGCATGAAAGTAGACGAGAAACCGTTCGATTTCGTAAAATGTACATCCTCTCTGTCTCACCTGCACCGAATAACCCCAGCCAGGGGGTTAATTGACGCATCCTTGCTCGAGAACTTGCAATTAACACGATTTTCGTGGAAATTCAGGCTCGAGTGGCCACCCAGACAGGGTTTCTGTATTTCGTGGGAACGCCAACTGACCTATTTATCAGGCCTTCGCCGTTTGGTTTCGGCTAGTAAGCAGGCAGCCGCCGCAAAAACACGCCTAGCTGTGTTGCCCGAAACGGACGGAAAAGTCCGATGTTACTTTCGGATGTACACCTGGTTTAAGTGTCATCGAGACGAGAAAAGCCGGCTGGGATATTTAACCGAGGAGATAGCGAAATCCGTCCGCTGTGAATAATGAATGGTATACAAAATTCACGAGGTATTCCAGTCACATCATCCTCAAATCCACGCTTGACGTTCAAATTTTCCCTGCACCCGTGAATAATCGATAGTTATTCGAATTCGCGTATCAAGAGGGAACTTGGAATATTAGTATTTTTTCTAAGATACGATAAATTTCTCGTTGTAACGACAAGGAATAACCAAGCAGTCTCTTTTGTGTCGCGGGACGGTAGATACGATATACCGGGTGTCGAAAAAAATCTGGAGAAAAATCCGGGAGTGTGTAGTACACGTGTAAAGAAATAAAAAAGTCTTGACGAACGTGGATCGAAAAGTCAATATTTTCGAAGATATAAACGATTTGTGTTTGTCTGCTCGGTGCAACAGGATTATCTGTGTTTTTTTTTTCCACTTTATATATCAGCAAAGGATTGTCTTATGTCTAGACTTAGCCAGAGAAATTTGAGTTAAAAAGATTTAATTTTTAAAATATCAATTTCCCGACTCATTAGTGACCGGAGTGCCTCAAATGTTCGGAATAACTAAAACTAAAATGAACATCGCCAACTAAAAGATTTCGAACATTTGGAATTCATTTTTGAAATGAAATTTCAGAATGAGAATTGAAACTTTGAGCATCAGAAATTTTGAATTAAAAAATGTTATATTTATTAAACTATTCTGTTTTTTGTATATGAGCGACGATGTGCGATACAAGACATAAGATATTATACGTCGTTCAAAATAAGAGTAACCTCGCTCTCGGACCGGTTCTCGTCCGTTCTGCGCGTAGACAGAGAACGCAGCAGAGGGTGAGACGAAGAAAAACGGTTTGGACGTTCCAGCCCTGCCTCAGGCACGTCGCATGCGCGAAGCGAGGTTACTCTAATTTTGAACAGAGTATAGACTGAAACTCGTCTAGGCCATAGGCCCTAAAACAAAAGACCGCGACTATTTCGCCGTTGCCTGCCTCCAGATGTCATTGCTACTCGATTCTCAACAAAAAATAAATAAATAAATCACAATAAGCACAATATGGGCTTGCGTTGATCTGTCGATCGTCCAAGCGTTGCCGGTTTCTGCACGTGTGTGCCGACTGATGTACCAAGGCTACGAAGGACCAGTTTCTTGATTGAAACACTAAGTTTTCTTTGCGCAATCTATGTTCTGACTTGTTTCGAGATCTGGAGTCCATTCTGCCGGAGTCTCCGCGGTTTCCTTCGACGGAGACTCCCATTTTTCCTTTTCCAAAATCACCGATCAGTTTACTCCCTTCATTTCGCCCTTAGCGCGTTATCCTAGGGTGGGGATGCGTGGGAATCAAGTCGCCCATCGACGTCTCGGAGACTCCAGGACTTATGGCAGGGTCTGGTCCTAGGGACTAAGTGTCGCAGGCAACGCGATAAACACTTGTGGTGTTTTGAGGAAACCGACCACTTGACTCGCTGCCATAATTCTCTCGCGGTCCCCTGAAAGCATCACGCAAATCTATCGCGACAGTCAACGTGTCAACTATCACTCCCGCTATACCGCACGCGACAAACTTAAAAAGAAAAAAGAAGAAAATTCGCCCAAGTACTACGAGCACGTGAAAGCCGTCTGAAATTCAGGTCCAACGAAATTAACGAAACAGCCTGCACGTTCCTGTGCACAAAGACAGGCAAACCCGGTGACACAACGACGCGACACACCAACATTTCACCGTCTGTGCGGTGGTTTCGCCTGCTTAGTGGGTGGCACGGCATCCCTCGCACGAGTGCCGTGCTAAAATTAGACGGGAACAGAGGGGGTTTATTCAAATTACTCCGCAACGCGCGCGCGGTTTCTAAGCGGCGCGGTTGCCTCGACGCCCGAGAATGAACCGGGCGTTCAGATAACACGACGCCCGTACGCCACGGACCGATGCCGCGAAATTAAACGAGGGTCTGAACGCCAGGACGCTTAATGAAGCGAACGTTTCTACGTCGACGACGAAAAGGCCTCTCCCTCGCGTAAGAAACTTGGAGGGAAAACGATCGTATACCTTTTTCACGCGCACGCAGTTTCATCGTTTCGACCGCTCGAAACTTTATTTCCGCTCGCACAGGACGCGTTTCGGGAAGAATTACAGCGGCGACACTTTGGCAAAGTGCAGCTGTAGCGTGACGAAGGAGAGAATGTTTTACTGGCGTTGATGCTATGAAACGGTTTTACAGGTGCTTTTACAATTCATAATTCCGAGAATATTTTCCATTTTACGGCGTGGAAGTTGGACGATGGGTGCCGCGTCAGGAGACGTGGACTCCGGTAATGGGGAGAGTAAGTAGTACAGGTCAGCAAAGTGTCTGACCTTTATCGCGTGGAGTAGAAAGTGGTAGTAATTATAGTGGTATTTAGCGAAGCTTGCTTAGAATAGCTGAAAGAATCACGAGGCGTGAAGTCGTGTACAGAGTTGGATGGAATTGCTGGAAAACGCTATAACTCGGCGGACGATCGTCTGTCGCCGACTGTTTTCCGCTGAGTGAGTTAAGAATTACAAGCGACAGACACATTTTGTTTGATGTCGTGGGGACGACTAAAATCTGTTTACAATCGCTTGGCGACGTTACATTAGTCGCTTGGAGATATCTAAGAGACAGGGATGAATATTTTTCGAGGCTGCAAAGGCCTTAACCCTTTCACTGCGACGAAATTTAACCACGGGTGTGAAATTTGTTATTTCGGCCGTGTCGTTTTAAAATTAAGATGGATTAACCCGTTCTCGCACTGTGCTGTTTGTGACTTTTGGTACACTTTCGCCTTAATTCGATGCTTAAATTTTGCTTAAAATTCAATCTTCGAGCACTCTCGCTTTAATTTAATAATAGAAATTTAGAAATGATAAATTTTCAATTTTCCACAAATGTTTCGACCGCGGCGAAGGGGTTGAATATTAAATTAAAGTGCAAGTATGCCACAAGGCTGCAACATGTAGCGCAAACAAATTTTCAAAACGTCTATAGGCCAATAGCAATGAAAGGGTTAAGTTTACAGCAGGTGTGTCCAACCCAGAGCCCGCGGGCTGCATAGAGCCCTCAAGGGCAAGTCAAGGGCAACTTTTATCATTGCTGCCTGATTTTTAGCGATATTTTTCATGATTTTTGGATTGTGCTAGTAGATTTAAAAAAATAAAGGAAATTTTACTCCGTATGCGGCCCAAAGACGATTCCTCTCCACTCAACGTGGCCCAGGCAAGGTAAAATGTTGGACAGCCGTGATTTACACGATTTATCGATGTGGATATTTTTCCAAAACTCACCGTGGTCTTCTCTAGACAACGGAGCAGATGATGATGCTGCAATTCGAAGATATCCTCCTCCTTGTAGTTGTCATCCAGCTGAAGGCCGCTCTCCTGCGCGGCCAGTCGAGCCTCGGCTGCCTTCTTTTTGCTCACGAAGGCTGCTCCGCTTGACGCTTTCGCGATCCTGATACGCGCCAATCTGGCTTTCTGCAACAGAAACGAGAAATTCCGTTAGAATTACGGTTCCAATATTAATCGAAGGAATTACGGTAATCCCCGGATGAGAATCGGAGGCTTGCAACTGCGTTCAGACACTTATCCGGGGGAAGTAGGTTTCTGGAAATCACCAGAGCTATCTCTGTTCAGTTTCCTCGCTTCGGTGCATCGGAGACGAGAATGAGAAACGTTCAGAGCGAATGAGACAGAGATGTTCGACAACCAATTACCCGTATAATTGGAATTCGTGTGAATATGCTACAATTTGGTATTATTTTCATTGGAGAAACCTAATTTAATTTTTCTCATCTCGACGAGCATTCTGATAGCTGAAACATCGCCTACCGGTTCCAGAATACCGTCGAGACAACTCTGCGACACTTATCCGGGGATTACTACACACGCCTGTATTAAACGTCGAACGTGCACGTTCCAAGACCTCAAGAAAGATGATCCAGAGCCGCGAAAAACACGCTCGAACGGCGGAAGAAAACAATTAGACCTTGCCAAAACATGGAAAAAGTTGTTCACGGTCAACCTAGTTCGCCGCAACGCTTGGAAGCGAACCAAGTCCGCGTAGGAAAGAAGCGAGAAGGCGAAAGGGTTGAAAGAGACGTTCCATCGGAGAAGAAAGGAAAGAAAGAAAGAAGAAACAGTGTGTTCGAAGGTGGAGTCAAAGCTAAACGTAGTCTCGCGCATCTTTTCCAGGTCGCGGGGAAACTGTTTGACGCGAGTACAATGCCGGAACCACGCGAGTTGTTGCGTTGAAAATTGCAGCAACGACCACGGGAAACGCATCAGCTTCGCTTCGCGCTTCCAATTCGCGTGCAGAAGAAGTCATTAGACTAACAACGACGTATTGTCCCTCGCTGTTTCCCGCTTTCTTTCTCTTCCCCCCTGTCGCTTCTCCTTCACCGTTCTCCCCCGAGGCGACTCCTGCTTTCCACAGCCCACGCTCGGTCAATTAAGCTTTTAGCGAGGATTTTCCGCGAGAAATTACCGGGGCGCGCGGCACTGAAACGCCGCAAATACGCGACACCGGTGATCTCCAAGCTCCACGCCCATTCCCGCAACGATTATGTCCCTCTAACCGCGGGATTTTCCCTCCTTCGGTTGCTTCCGCGAGACCAGAGCTGGCTCCAACAGCCACTTCACCGGGGGGATCTTTCGAGCTTGCTACGAGGAAAATATCGATAATAAGCGTTACTCCCCGAAGGATATATAAGCACTTCCGGTATAGAAACGAGCTTTGCCTCTACTCCTTATCGAACTTCCTTCCCCGCGGTAAACTTGTAACATGATTTACAGCGAGTCTCGTACCAGTTTTCGTACGAATTTCGCATCCTTCACCGTGTTGGAGGAATTTCTTCGCTGATGAGTCGTAAGAGAAATAAGAATTAATTTTTTTAAGAACGTCGATGTCATAGGGAACGATCACCGCGAGACAAGGGACGAAGATTAAGAAGAGCGGCAGCCTTGGAGGAATAAATTCCGCAGCCTGGAAAGCCGCGTCCTGTCCAAAAGGATCGAGAAAATCCAACAAGACGTACGGCCCGTTTGTCATCCTTCAGACACCGGTAACAGAACGCGATAATTCAACGAGAAGGAACGAAATTCCGCGTCGTGGGAAACTTGCTGTGTCACTCTCTCATCTACATAGCACGAAGGAAAGAGGGTTTGCCCCGCTTTTCTTCCCCCCCTTTGGGAACCGCGAAGACGCCGCTGCGTAATTGTGAAATAACGCGAGGTAATGTTGTTTGTTAAGACAACTTTGCGTCAGAGAAGCTAGTCAGAAGAGAGAGAGAGAGAGGTTAGGTCTTCTTCCTTCCTCCGTCACCTTCGCGCTATTCTGCGTCAGCTTTGTAATTTTCTCGTTAATTCTCTGCGTCTTTTCTCTTTTTTTTTTACCGCATTACGTTAACGCTTGATATTATTTTTCTCGGCGTAAACTTTCAGGGGAAAATGAAACTGCGTATTGCAATGTTACACGAATCGGGAATTCGACGTTTCTTAACCCTTTGCGGGTGACCGGCGGTAAATTTTTAACCGCGACTGCGAAATTTGTTACTTTGGTCGTATCGCTTTAAAATTCGGTTGATTAAATTAAGGTGGAAGCGCGTGAAGGGTAAAATATAGGCATTGAATTAAGGTGGAAATGTGCCAAAAGACTTTAATTTTCAAAACGCCTATAGGCGCCAGTGGTAACGAAAGGGTTCACGTAATCTTTAAGGAAAAAATTGTACGAATCGAGAATCGAGGAAATAAGAGACTGATAGATCAGACTTACACTATTAGGGTGATTTTTCTCAACGTAAACTTCAAGAAAAAAAATGAAACGATGAATGGAGAATGGAGGAGCTAAGGAATGATAGATCAGACTTACACTATTAGAGTGATTTTTCACTCTTTTTTGACGAACGGACGGTAAAAGACCGATATCCACAGAGACCGCAATACGAAGAGACGAAGACACGACAACGATGAGGGACAAAGCGCGGCCAGAGACAAAAGACAGCTCAATCCCTCGCTAGACGTCGGGCAGAGCACTTAACTTATTAATTAAAAGTAGCGTAGAATATTAATTGAGTTTGTTTATTACAACCTACCAACCAGATGAATCGAGAATCGAGGAACTAAGGGACCAATAGATCAGACTTACACTGTCAAGATGATTTTCTCAACGCAAACTTTAAGGAATAAAAAAGGAAACTACGAATCGAGGAACTAAGAGACTATTAGATTAGACCTATACACCTAAATAGGGTCATTTTTCTCCGCATTATAACGATGACACAGTAGCCACGACATTATGCAGCCAGAGAATTTGCAACCACGACGATTTTCGCCACGCAAACATTTTTCCACCCAGCCCTGGCAAACTGTATTCTTTTTCTCTCCTTTCTTTTTACTAAACAACCAGCAACGTCAATATAATTCAGCCAGACGACAACGTGACATTTATCTCGAGCAAGCAGAGCAGCAAGCAACCGTGCCTAACCAACGCTGACTTTACTATGCACATAGAGGGAGAGAGACAGAGGTTTCATTGTACCAGCAGACTTCTCTGGTGGAAGGCATAAAGAACACGAGTTAAATGACATCGTTCTCCAGGCACGCAGCGGAACGCAGCATCGTCGAATAATCCATCATTAACGCGTTGTTTCTCTTTAACGAGCCGCCGTAAACCTCGTAGCTCGAGCTAGAAAATGGCGGCCGGTAGACGAGCGTCGTCGCGGTATAGTTGTCGGAAGCAATATACCGAGGTCGTAAATTAAACCGTTAAACGTGCGACACCGATTGATGTTGCCGAACCCCCAGGGTCGTCTGTCATTTGCGAATTCATATTTTAAATTTATGCCCGTAATCTCTCATTTAAGATACACCGCGTTAACCCTTTCGAGCCAGACTCGACGTAGGCATTTTTTCGCTCTGATGGTGTACAACGATAAATTATAAACGATTTAATCGGTACCAGAATGCAAGCTCCGGCCACCACCCTTGGTATGAGCGAGACCTTTCCCGACTAGAATTTCAGTTAGGCATGCCTAAAGACGAATGTGGGCCTAATGCGGAAACGATTAGGCACACCTAAATGCTACAAGCCTAATCGTTACCGCATTAGATCCTAATTCGGAAGGAATGATGCATGCCTAAGTTGGGAATTCCTAACAGTTGCCATACGGGACCCAAATGGAAGTGGCCGAGTGCACGCTTAAGTTGGGCATTCCTAAGAGTTGCCATACGTGGCCCAAATGGGAGTGGCCGAGCGCACGCCTAAGTTAGGCATTCCTAACAGTTGCCATACGTGGCCCAAATGGGGGTGGCCGAGCGCACGCTTAGGTTGGGCATTCCTAAGAGTTGCCATACGGGGCCCAAATGGAGGTGGCCGAGCGCACACCTAAATTAGGTGGAGTGAGGCTCTCAAACTTATATGTAGGAATATTTATAGACATCTCAGTGTCGGACGTACACTTGCGAGAGAGCTCTCAACAAGATAAAAGTGTTTACAATTTAATGTCAAACTTATATGTAGGAATATTTATAGACATCTCAGTGTCGGACGTACACTTGCGAGAGAGCTTTCAACAAGATAAAAGTGTTTACAATTTAATCCATACAGTGTCTCGATGAGGTATTCCTCGTGAGATTTCATTAATGTCTCCCAATGACAGCCTAATAAAGGTATTCTAATATGGGCCTAATGCGGTTGGCCTCATTGGGAAAGCCTAATGCGGCCCTAACGCGGCTTTCCCAATTAGGCGGTCGTGAATGGGGCTGATGGAGCTGCCCCATTGGGGCCAAACAGGCAAATTAGGCTAGCCTAATGAGGACCTAATGTCTGCCTAACTGAAATTTCTAGGCGGGTTTCTAAATCTCTACCGGCTCTGCAGGTCGGTACCCGAGCTGAAAAGACGCAGCTCACCCGCCGAGACGCCAGCGCCTCTAGCATATAGGCTTAACCACTGCCCCCGCGAGTTTACTACAGACACAAGGATCGGTAGATAAATCAAATTTCTCAAACGAGCAAGAAATTTGAAACGGCCGAATAATGGTTAAACGAAAGGGTTAAACACGCTGCAACGTAGTTGACGTGAAACGGCTCTAAACGAGGCTCGATCTCCTTATCTTCCTCGAACTGCTGTTTCGGCTCTTGGATTACGTGTACTTTGACGCCTGACTGATTTTACGACCTCAACTATATCGCTTTCAGGGACTATACGAAATTATACCTCGACGTTTAGGGGAATTTCAGTGAGGCAGGTTATCGGTTGGCTATCGATGATCTCTCGATAAGTTTATCGGCCGGATCGTTACGGTTCGAGCTTAATAACAATTAACCCGTGCTTTTTACGCTCGTGAATTTCACCGTGTAATAAAACTT